GCCCGCAGCCTGCCCGATGCACCCTGCGCGGCGGGGGCGTTGGCGCGGCCGGGCCAGTGGGCTCCTCCGGGTCTGCTCCGGGAAGGCCAAGGCAAGGGCGGCGTCGCGCGCTGCCTGGCAGAGCCCAGCCTCTTCTCCCCCACGCTCTGTCTCTAGCTTGCCCGCCTGTCAAAGGCAGCCGAGGCCCAGATGGGCAGGGCGATTTTAAATGTCAGATTCTGCCGGCTAGCTGCGACCGTTACCCGTGCGTTCTCAGCTCCTCGACTTGTCTCAGTTACAACTGGGAGCAGGGGTGGGCACGTAATTCTAGCCACTTTAGTCTTCAGCGGATACTGAGGTCTGCCGCAGGGACGAATAATTAGCAAAACCATTAATTGAGCCTCAGATTACATTCCACGGTAATCATTTGAGTGTACAAGAAAACCTTCTGTACCCTTAGAAAGTGATTTCTGCCAGTTAAATGTAGTGTTTGAACGTCTGTCAATAGAATATCAAGTGCACGAGTGTATTTCTGTTTATTTTTATTTAATTTTACGTTTTTATCGGGTACAGTTTGCTTCAATACGTGTATAATGATCCAATCAGTATAGTTAGTATATCTGTCACCTAAACTTTTATCATTTCTTGGTGGTTATAACATGCAAGATCCTCTTTTCTGGCTACCTTGAAATACACAATCCAATATTATTAGCCATTGCCATCCTAGAGCACCAGAACTCATTCTTCCTATCTGACTGCAACTTTTAACTTTGTATCCTTTTACCAACCTCTCCCCCTCCTTTTCCCTTCCCAGGTAACCACTATTCTACTATCTATTCCTTCTTATTTTTTTTTTCTTTTTAATTTATTTTTCTTAATTGACCCATGATAATTGTATATATTCCTGGAGTACAATGTTACATTTGGGTACATTTACACAGTGTGCAAATTGTGTGAGTATATTTGAATTGTACCCATGAATTTCTAAACAAAGATTTGAACTCAGTTAATAGCTTCACATATTTACGTTTTCGAAGATTATCTTAACAAAAAAACCCTTTTAAAAAAAAAAAATTCTCACAGTAGAATCAAGTCTGGACTTCATTTGTGAATTTTCCTGACATTTTTTTCTGGCAATAGGTGGCCTCTGTTAGGCCTTGAGGCATTATATATCTACTTATAGATATCAAAGTTTTTTTGTGTGTACTCCTGTGTTTTACCTGGTAAACTGTTCAGTATGCACTCATGATTTCATAACTGTGGGAACTGATTCTAGCACTAATTAGAAGGTTGATGACTAAAGAAAGAGCCCAAGACCGACATGGTTAAGTTTCAAATACTACTAGTCTTACCATATGACTAGCAGTAATATCACCCAAGGGAGATAAAACACATTTTCATTCAAAAAATTGTAGTCAAATTTTGTAGCAGTTTATATAATGGCCCGGAACAGGAGGAAACCCAAATTTTGTTTTACTGGTAAATGGATAAGCAAAATGTAGCATATCCACACAATGAAATATTCCTTAGCAATAAGAAACAAACTAACAACATGAATGAATCTCAAATGCGCTATGCTAGGTGAGAGAAATCTAATCCAAAATACTACCTACTGTTTTGATTTCATTTATATGACATTCTGGAAAAGGCAAAACTATAGAAATAGAAAACACATCAGGTGCAGGAGTGGGGGGAGAGGATTGACTGCAAAGGAGCAGAAGGCAACTTTTTGGAATGATGGGAATGTTTTATATCATGATTATGATGGTGGTTATAAAACCGCATATATTTCTCAAAACTCACCAATTTGTACACTTAAAACTGGTGAATTTTATTGTATGTAAATTTACCTCAATGTATTTGATTTAAAAAAAAGAGCTTGAGTGGTGATATTAATATCAGACAAGGCAGACTACACAATAAAGATTATTAACAGAGATAAAGAGGCACATTTCATAATGACAAAAATCCATTGAGTATCTAACAATCCTGCCTGTTTTATATCTAGGAACAGAGCTTCAAAATAGGATGAAGCAAAACTCAATAGCATAAAAAATAAATAAATAGGCAAATCTGTAGTTATACTTGAGAATTTCAACACTTTTTTCAGAATTGATAGAACAAGCAGACAGAAAATCAACGGGGGTATAGATGACTTGAAATGGCCCTGTCAACCAATATGACCTAATAGACATTTATAAAAGTCTCCACCCAGCAACAGTGGAATACATTTTGTAAAAAGTTCACATGGAACATTCACCAGGATAGACCACATTCTGGGCAATAAAGCTAGTCTCAATAAATTTAAAAGGATTACAATCATACAAATTGATACCAATGACAGATATCTGGAAATCTCTAAATATTTTGTAATTTAACCATACATTCTAAATAACCCATGGGTTTAATTATCTCATAAGCAAAATTAGGAATTACTCTGGACTAAATGATAATGAAAATGCAACATATCAAAATTCATGGGATGCAGGTAAAGCAGTAATTAGAAGGAAATTTATAGCGTTAAAATGCTTGTATTAGGACTGAAGAAAGGTCTAAAAACAGCTACTTAACATTTTAACCTTAAGAAACTAGAAAAAGAACAAATTAATCTCAACATGAGCAGAAAGAAGGAAATAAAGAGTGAAAGAAAGAGAAAATACACAAATAATAGATATAATCAATGAAACTAAAAGCCATTTCTTTGGAAAGATCATAAAATCAATAAACCCCCTAGGCAGACTGATCAAAGGGAAAAAAAGGAGATGAAACAAATTTCCAGTGTTAGGAATGAAAGGGAGGATAACTTCTTGGACATTAAAAGGATAAGAGAATGTTATAAACAACATTATGCCAATAAGCTAGACAATATACATAAGATAAGAAAATAGTGTAGAATAATGGTTCTTCAACAGTCCAATAATGATGTCATGTCACATGTGTTGCTATTAGTTAAGAGATTTTGAACAAGTAACATGTTTCCAATAATTAGTAAAATAATACAATCTGTGAATTATTCACTCTTTGAAAATAAACTGTGTGGATTTAAGGTCAATCCTATACCAGTGTGAAATTACATATGAGCAGAGTGCACTGGGAGGTATGTGGAGCCATGATCTGTCCCCAGTATGCTGCTCATGTCCCTGGTCCTGTGCACAGGAGAGTATCCCACACAGGAACATCCTGTCTTAGGTGTTAGCAGAGAAATGTTCAAAAAATCCCTCAACTACGGAAGTGTCATTTACAAATCAGTAAATCATCTCAAGGGTGGAACCAACATTTGAAATGTGGGTTGTTTTGGAAGGTCTTACTGAGCTTTGAAAATCGAATATTTCCAATAGCAAAGATTAAAAAATGCCAGGTTCTTATATCAAGGAAAATCTTGAATTACAGCCAATCATGTTATACACTAAGTTGAAAGAAAGAAAATTGACTGAAAGAAATACATTGAGATAAAGAGAAATTATTTTTATCAACGTATTCTTTTTGAAGGCCCAGGCAAATAATAAATAATATTCAATAAATCTTAAGCAAGAATTGACATTTGATATTTTTACAAATTGGAAGATTTTTTGATCTCTCTCAGAGGTCAGAAAAGAGGTTAACTATAATAGACACCCAAACATGTTTTTTAAAAATATATATTGAACTTTTTTTTTGAGTCGATATGCATGTATGTCACCATATAGATTTTTTTCTGTCTCTGATCTAATACACATTTTCTTCTCAGTTTAAGATTTGGTTCTTCAACAGTCCAATAATGATGTCATGTCACATGTGTTGCTATTAGTTAAGAGATTTTGAACAAGTAACATGTTTCCAATAATTAGTAAAATAATACAATCTGTGAATTATTCACTCTTTGAAAATAAACTGTGTGGATTTAAGGTCAATCCTATACCAGTGTGAAATTACATATGAGCAGAGTGCACTGGGAGGTATGTGGAGCCATGATCTGTCCCCAGTATGCTGCTCATGTCCCTGGTCCTGTGCACAGGAGAGTATCCCACACAGGAACATCCTGTCATAGGTGTTAGCAGAGAAATGTTTGAAAAATCCCTCAACTACGGAAGTGTCATA